ATACAGTTACAGGGTCAATGACAAATAGTTAGGAAAAGAAAAAGAATCCCTCTCTCACACTGTAACAATGTGAGCATTTTGGATGATGAACTTCTGGAAAGTATGGACTATTGGGGGATTTCTGTGGAGGATATGGTGTTTTAGCAGGACAATGACCTCAAGCATGCCAGCAAGAAGGCCCAGAAGTGGCTAGAAGACAATGCAGTTAGTACTATGCTAGAGTCATCTCAAAAGGAGGTTGGGAGGATATAAGGAGCCACCTAGGGGAATTGAAGAATTGTGAGAAAGAGTGGAGGAGTGGGAGCAAATTCCTGCCTCTGTCTGTCAGGACTTAATCAGGAGTATGCCTAGAAGGGTTGAGGCAGTTTTGACAGCAAAAGGAGGGTATACAAAGTACTCAAAATGTCACTTTCTGTAGTCAAATATGCAGGGGACAAAATCATTGCAATGGGTTTAGAGTAAAGATTCATCAATAACTTGGTCAATACCTAATCAAATCACATGTTTGTGGGGTCTATCATATAGCCCAGATCCTAGGCCTTCCAATGGTACCCATAGATACTATATTTGGATGGTTGGTTCATTAGATATAGGCCTAGCAACACAACTGTTGCAAACATTGCAACACTTTTGTCCCCTACTGTAGCACAGGGTCAAGGAGAAAGTGAGTAAAATGGAAATAAAACCCCTTACAGACAGTAACAAAAACTGCTGCAATGATATGTCAGATAGATACTTAAATATCTTATAATACATTCAAGATATAAGCACAAATATGAAAGCTCTTGATCAGTAATATTTGATATGCTGATAATATTTCCTATATATTCTCTTATTCTCTAATAGTGTATTTATCAATGCAAATGCTACAAACATTGCAGCAGTTTTGTGAGTCACTGTATATAGTTTACTCCATGCATATTAATTGTGGTTTGAATTTAGCAAAAGTAGATCATCACCATAATCAGCTAACAAGTCATTAATATGATTAATAAACATTTCAACAAGATATTTGTCATACCAGAATGAGACTGCTGGTATTCATCTTCTAGGTCCTGCATTACTTTGTCCTGCATTGATACCATTTCCTCAGCAGAGGAGCAAGTACAATACTGCTCCAAGTACAATCTATGTATTATTCAATATCTCACTTCATGGGAAGAAAACATCAACCTCACTTGTTGATATTCCAGAACGACAAGCCCCAGCTAAAGTTACTGAGTAAGCTGTCTGCAAAAGCATGTAACCCCACAATGTAAAATGCAGCTGCAATGGCTTCAGCACAGTTCAGCTTCCAGGGTTTTCCGTAGTTGACGGGATTGGCAGCCACAAGATAGGGTACTAGACAGAATCAGATGATAAATTGTATACATATATCAATTCAACTTACATATCCGCTCGTGAGGACTCGCTAATCTTCTGAATGGTATCTCATCAATTCTAGCCCACGAACACTCCACGACTGCGATGCCATGCTGTAATACAATTTCTCGATCCGATGGACTGACCAGCTGCGAACCTCGCGGTCTATACAAGCTGTGAAGTCAATCAAAACGAACATAACGGGAATCAAAATATGATCACGTCACGACGATGCCGCGGAAACGTTGGCCAATCTTTAGCTCCTCAATGAGACCGAGATGTAACAATTTTCTACCAGAGCAGCGCCGAGGATCACAGTGACCAAAATCCTAGTCGCAGCGCATCAGACACCAGAGCGTTCCCAACGTCGATCATCTACTAATACGCACCCACATGGCCATTGAAACAGGGATAGCACCTATAAGGGCATTAAGTAAACTGTTTCCAAAACACGAGCCGGACTACGTACTCGGCCTTGTGCTTTCGTCGTTATCCTCTTCCGCTACGCTTTCGCCGCCGTCCGAGTCAATCGCACTGTCTGGCCGACGTTCTTCTAATACGTCGTCCGCAAGAGACAACTGGCGACGTCGTCTAGCTTCGCCAGTTGGATTGCGTGACACCCCTCTCCCGCGCCTTGTTCCTCGGCTGGAGCGAGATGAAGAGCTGCCTTTAGCCATTAGACCAACTTTGGGTACTATGCGAGATCGAATATGATCACCGGCGGTACTGGTCGGGCCTTAGTCACAATGCAGTCACGCGCGTCACATTAGGAGGCGCGAAATTGAGTTACAATTCTGAGAACTAGCAGCTTGTCCTACCCATGTTTCCCTCGCTAGTCAGACTTTCCAAGGCATCTCGAAGGCCTCTCACACCAAAACGAGGAAATAAGGATTTCTATAAAGGTCTTAGGCTTCATTGGCAAGTAAAGCCCCGCTTGGCTGAACATCATTTTCTCCTTAGGAACTAGGCAGGCCTTTCTCCCAGGAGGACACCGCACTGGTGCCCCAGGGAAACATGTAATTGCTGGAAAAGCCAAATATAGACTCGTGGACGAGCAAGTTCGATTCTTTGTTGCGCCAGCCATTGAGGATATCAGTAACTCGAAAGTGAGTGCAGGCGAGTGATGTTAGCGTTAGGATCCAGCTCACGTATGATGATGCCCAGTTGCGCCCATATGTTGATATCAGTGTCAAATTAACACCGGAGCAAAAGCGAGAGGTTTATTCGTCACTTCTACAATAGTAGACACGTTCGATAGCTAGAGTCTCTATAGTATCATTCTCCCCGCCCATCTAGGCATTGCGATACATTCGCGTACATTGTCAATTCCGCCCATCCAGCTGATGAGTCGCTCGAAGCCAAGCCCAAATCCACCATGGGGAGCACTCCCATACTTCCGCAAGTCCAAATACCAGTCGTACTCTGCCTGGTTCATACCATGCCGATTAAATGCTTCTCGCAAATGCTCCTCCCGCTCTTCACGAAGCGACCCTCCTACAAGCTCGCCGAGGTGTGGTACAAGCAAATCAAAGCAGGCTACCGTTCTTGAATCATCATTGAGTCGCATGTAGAATGGTTTCAAAGATGCAGGATAGTTTATCACGAATGTCGGTCCGCCGACGAGTTTTTCAGCTATCCATCGTTCGTGCTCGCTTTGCAGCGCCCTTCCCCATGCCGGTTCAAATACGAATTTTCGAGTTGATGCATGAAATTTGGCAAGTTCTGAGATGGCCTCGTCATAGGTGATTCTTGCCCATCTCTCTGTCAACTTCGCTGATTCAAGGAGCTTTGGCACCTGCTCGTTATATTCCGCTGATTGTGGGCTTAAATCGCCCGCCTCCTCGAGCACGTGTTTTAGCGCGGCCTCTACAATCTGACAGACGTCATCGACGGTTTCTGTGAATGCCCATTCAGCTTCGAGCATCCAGAACTCGGATAAATGGCGGTTAGTTTGCGATCGCTCCGCACGAAAACAAGGAGATAGCGTGTAGACTCGTGACATGGCAGCTGCCATAGCCTCCAGATGCAACTGAGATGACACAGTCAGATACGCAGGTTTACCAAAGAATTCATCTGCGTCGGGGGAGGTGGAAGGAGTCTGTTGCTGGTGTATATTTGGAGACGCGATCCGAAAGGTCTCGCCAGCTCCCTCACAGTCGTTGGAAGTCACGATGGGAGTGTGGACAAAACAAAAATCTCGTGCCTACTTTACAGTGAGACATGTCATGACAACAACTTGTCCGAAGAACGTACCTCGAAAAAATTATGGAGAGATCGTGAAGCTCTATGGCGAAGCCGGAGCATGGACGCGATACCATCTGTTCGGGCTCGAAGATGACAATGGTCTCGTAGATATTCCACCGGCAATGCTTGCTTCTGGATTGGATAAGTCTGGATTCCAATGAGGTTTGAACGCCATTGGCTCATCGCAGGCATAATCTATACATACAGTCTGATCAGACTTGCCTAAGACCTCTACGGTGTCAACGCGCAGCTCTCTGTCCTGGCCACGCCCGGGGCTTTGCGCGAGTATACCATCTAAACGTACGCTGGTCCCACTAGTTAATCTGGCCAAAGATAAGTAAGGGCACTGGAACTAAATGTATATGAAGGCGTACTGTCTGGTTAGACTAGGGTCTGTGAAAACGGCTTGCAGGCCTCGTTCAGAGCTGCCGTCAGAGATTACTGCAAAGGCAACATTCTTTTGTCGTCTGACTGATTTCACCCAGCCATTTACACGCACGGGGGAGCACAGCTCCGCGTTAGAAGGCGAGAGCAGCTGGCGAATGGTAGGAGGAAGAAAACCCGTACAGAGACTGCGTTGGAAGATCATTGAGTTGGTCAAGCTGCTCTCAACTTATCTTGCCGCCCATATATTGAGGGCTGACCACTATGTAATCGCAATATTCCTCGAAGCCGAAGTCTAAACCTATGGGTTATCGTATTCACTGAAAAGTGCTAATACCATGACGAACATTAATCGGTGCCGCTCATCTAGGTTCGTGATCTACAGCCATCGTGACGATTGCGACGCTTTGTAGTGCGAATATGTATAGATGCGACATACAGGACGATAAAAATGATACAGACAGGCATATCGATGCACCACTGGCCTGGGCTTTTGAAACATACAAATGAATGACACCAACCTGCAGAGATCAGAATCCCCTGCCTCGACCCCGTCCTCTTCCTCGACTCCGCCCGCCTCCCCCGCGATCCCCACCCCTGCCGCGGCCTCGACCTCGCGCATCATCTTTCTTCCTGCTTTTAGGTTTAGGTGCATCATCGACCAACAGAGTGTCCAGTGGCAACGCGTCCGGTAGGACAAAGTAGCGGATATTGTTTCCCCGGATCGATAGTGAATCGAGAGAAGTCGGCTCGCGGTTGCGAGCAGTCATCTTCACCGTTTTCAAGTGTGTGTTCATCTGCATATCGACGCCTAATAGGTCAAAACGACTCGTAAGATGCAGAATACTAGCGGTAGTAAGGGGGGAAAAATGCACCAGTAATAGTGCCGTGCACGACAGAACCGTTCTTCAGTTCGATCGTAACGGTTTCATTATTGAGCTTCATCAAAAACCTAAAAAGTATATTCAGGTAGAAGTTCACAAACTGCTCTTTGGTGCATGGACATACCTGACGAGCTTCATATTTGCGAATGGCTTGAGGAGGCGCAAAGAGGATGGGCCAAGAATGGATCATTGGATGCAACGAGGAAGCGAGCCACGTGACGGGATGATGAGGACGGGACAAGCCGGAGGGCGTTGGTTTGTCGAGCCGCGTTCACGCGTACGCGCTCTGCCAGTCGACTCAGGCTTGCTCCCTCTCCTCCTCGTCTCCTCCCCGCAGCCCAATCTGGCTTCACGACCCCTCTTCCACGCAACCGTTTGACCTCCCTCATCTCGAGGTCTTGCCATCCGCTGGACGCTATGCTGCCAAAGGTTGCCAATCACCTCCTCCACCATACCGCACGTGCAGTAGCCGCGGCCCAAAACCAGACTGGACATACTATCCGAAACGTCCTCCAGCTCCAGTCTTCTTCAGGTACCTCTTCTTCTAACTCTGGTCGCAGTAGTTACGGTGCGGGATCTGGCGGCCCCAAGTATTCTAGCGGACGCACATATACAGGCTATTCGGTGTGTCCCTCGCTCTTGAATATCTGGACATGATACTCACGCATAGCGGACACGAATAGGGTGCAGGCCGTGCAGTAACCCAAGCCGAGTCAATAACCTCCAATGATGCTACTTACGGCGGCGAGGATGAATTAGAAGAGACATCCTCTGAAATACCAAAAGCCCCTTCCCTTGCGCAGAAGAAGGGGATCTTCCTCCATGCACCGGTAAGGGGTAAGGAGACGCTAACCGTGCTCAAAAAGGTCCAGTCAACCATCCGTTCCCAACATGCATTTGCTGCCCGAGCTGGTGGAGATGATACGCTTGTAGATCTATTTCCTCCGTCGTCTCTACCACCGCCTTCTAATGTTCTCGCTATTGATGAGAAGTCCTTCGAGGAAAATGCGCCTTCCCTCGTCTCATCAACTCCGCCCAAGTCAGCAGAGAAGGACGCCGCGGAGCAGGAGGTCTTTAAAGTCATCAATGACGCCGAGGCGACCGGTGACCGGTCCCGTGTATTAGAAGCAGTCGAAGGACTACGCTCCCAATCAAGGCTTCTTTCGGCGGCGGGTTATAATGCAGCTTTGCGAGCGGTTTCCTCCGTTCGCCAGCCTGGCGAGGACCTCCGAGTCATCTTGGGTCTTTACAATGACATGCTACATCGTTCTATCCTGCCGAATTTCCGAACATACATCAATCTTATCACTGCGTTCACTGACCGCGATGTTGAGGTTCAAGGGGTGATCAGAGTTATCGAACTTCGCATCAAAAAGCGTTCTGCCTTTGGTCGCGCCGACAGCTCAGCAAATGCAGTTGACCAGAAACGGCTTGCGGCCCTACGAGCGGAAAGCAACTTTCGGTCTGCCATGACCCTTTTTCAGTCCGCATGTGCAGTCCCGGCTAATGCACCATCAATGGAGATTTATGCAGCATTGCTACGATCGTGCGCGCTCCATGCTAATGTGGATGCCGCTGTCCGTGTATTTGCGCATCTCGAGAGACGGTCTGATGTCCTACCCAGTCCTCAAATTTTCGACTATCTGATCAGCGCGTATTCCAACGTTGGAGATCTTCACGGTGCAAAAGAGGTATTTGAAGAGTTCAAGGAAAGCTGTCGCTCCAATCGAATTAGCAGTTTCAAACCGTCCGGGATTCCCAAAGTGGATAAAACTCTTGCTACAAAAGCGCGAATGTCTCGGATTAATGTTTGGAACAGGATGATCAAGGCCTACATTCTCGGCGGACAACATACGTTGGCCATCGGTTTGTTGGAACAGATGCTGGATACCAAAGCTGGAGATGCGCTCAAGGTTGCAGATATCCCTCCTCCTTCCGCTTCTACATTTGGCCAAATCATCCGAGGTTTTTGTGACGTCGGTGAAGTTGACACCGCGTTATCTTGGTTCGATCGTTTACTCGAGCAGGACGTTCCTCCACGTTCTCCATGGGAAGCGTCCGTTACCCCTGCAAGACCTGATCGTGCGATGTACGTCAAGTTGATAGATTCGTTGGCCGTTTTGGGCCGCATCGACGACATGAATCGTGTATTCTCCCAGTTTCTTGAACGTGCACCACAGGATTCCCTCCAAGTCACTGAGTACGAACGACGCACTGTTTCCCAGGCCAATTATTATCTACGTCCGCAAGCCAATGCTGAGTCGGACGAGGATTACACTCCAGCGACGTCAGACATTGCCGCAGAGACTGCTGCCGATGACCATAGGCTTGTGCAAGTTCCAGCTGATTACGACGCGACAGTGATAGGACAGACCATCGACCAGTGTCTATTCCCTCCGAATAATGCAAATGCTCATCAGGCGTACGACCGATTCAATAACGCTCGCCAAAAGGGACAGTATCCTCATACAGGTGTTATGGCGCGTCTTATCGGATATTTGGGCAGAGAAGGTGAAGTCATGAAGATTCGAGATGTCTATCAGGCGGCACAGACCTTGTTGGCCACTATGGAGTATGACAAGGAGGGGCAATCTGCGGGCTGGTTCCAGATAGAGGACTCCATGATCATCGGCCTAGCTCATGCGGGAGATGTGGACGCTGCCCATGTACACAGGGTCCGTATCATGGACCACGGTGGGATGCCAACCGCGGACGCATACGGGGCCCTCATTCACCATGTCAAAGACACAACAGACGACGCTAGCAATGCCATGGCCCTCTGGCAGGAGGCTCAAGCGGGAGCTGTTCGTCCCAACATATACCTGTACAATACGATTATCTCGAAGCTGGCGAAAGCCAGAAGGGCGGACGACGCCCTTGCCCTATTCCACGAGATGAAGCATAATCAGGGCCTCGCTCCTAGTTCTGTCACTTATGGAGCGTTGATCGCGGCGTGCTGTCGCGTCGGCGATGCATCATCCGCGGAGCGTCTCTTTGACGAAATGTCCCAACAGTCGAACTTCAAACCTCGTATCCCGCCTTATAACACCATGATGCAGCTATATACTCACACAAAGCCCGATCGCGCTCGAGTCCTTCACTACTACGAAGCTCTCCTGAATGCCAACGTCAAGCCCACCGCTCATACGTATAAGGTTTGTTCATTCACGATCTCAATGCTACAATTACCAGTTCTGACGCCGTCACATAGCTTTTACTTGATGCATACGGGACCATAGAGCCCATAGACAACCAAGCCGCAGAAGCAGTATTCGAACGTGTTACTTCCGGGTCTCGACCTCTTGTTCAAGGTACACATTGGGCATCTTTGATTAATTCCTGGGGTTGTGCACAAAAGAATCTCGAACGCGCCCTGGCTATTTTCGATTCCATTGCTTCACACCCGTCGACCCGGCGTTCTGGCACTGTTCTCCCTGATGCTGTAATTTTCGAGGCCTTGATCAACGTCCTAGTAACTCACCGGCGCACCGATATCATCCCCCAGTACATGCAACGTCTCGAATCTCATGGAGTTCATATGACTGCGTACATAGCTAATTTGCTCATCAAAGGCTATGCAGCTGTCGGCGACATTGAACGGTCTCGCGAAATCTTCGAAAGCCTGGCAGACCCTCCAGAAGGTGTTGCTGCTCCTCATAATCATGCGCCACACGATAATGAGGCCGCCGCTGCCCCTGTTCCTACAAATGCCCTTGTCTATCGTGAGGTGTGTTTCTACCAATATCTTTTCTCTGTGTCCGATATCCTAATCCTATCTCCCTAGCCCTCGACGTGGGAAGCTATGGTGCGCGCCGAGCTGGGAAATGCTAACAGAGATGAAGCGATAGCTCTCCTACAACGACTCCAGGCAAGGTACGAATGACGTCGCTTTGGTTCCACGAACTTTAAGCTGATTTCAATCATGGAACAGAAAATTCCCTCCAGCAGTTTATAACCGTATCAGCGGGATCATGTTGGATGACTCGGTATCTCCCTGGGCAACTCCTTCAGCCTCTCCATAACATCTTGTTCCGCATGACTTTCCCTTGCTTTCTGTATACACTTGCTTGCTGATGCACAATTCACGACTATATTATCTCCTGCCGTAATCCTACTCCATTGCATAGTGTAGAACTTCATAACTTATGTACAACCACCGATGATATATATTCCAAATGAAATGGAACAAAATGATACTGCCAGAAGCATTAGTCTAAGCGGTCAGCTTTGCGCATGTGAGAGTATTCTCTTGAGTCTGAATCAGCAGCAAACAGTCGTTTAAAGACCAAAATTATTACTGCTATACCGAGGAAGATGAAGAAAGCAGTGCGCCAGGGATATGAGAAAACATAAGTCTCGGTCGCGGTCAACTTAGCGTTCAGATACTGCGAAGCAGATCAGCACAAGTCAAATACAGCAACCCAAGACGGACGTACCCGCGCCATGCGTTCCACCATATTCTCCGAATGCTTGTAGGGTATAGTCCCACCTGCCGCACCGTGGATTGCAGAGAAAATGCTCGTTGACGTCAGCTGAATATCCTCTCCGAACTGATCCTTGTCATAGTACACCAGGCGCTGAATGAACCGGTAAATTCAGTAGAATATACAAGCAATTTGTTAAGTACTCACGGCGTGATTGGCAACGACGATACGCGGCAATGAGTCTGCCTTAATCCCATACATGCTTTTTAGCCATTTCCCCCACTTTTCACCGTCCATCCAGACAAACGATATTGCCCCATCACCTTTGGTATCTTTCCACTGTCTAGCTATCTTTTGAACCGCGCTTGATACAACACCCATTTGGTCTTTAGGGGTCGCAATGAGGACGACAAGTGGCTTGTGTGGGGCATTCATGACTTCCTGGAAATTGTCCGCGTCCAGTTCCATACTGGAAGGGAGACGGTTCCTCAACAGCTAACAAGCAAAAGTAGTAAAGTAACGAATACTCGAAGTATAGCACATAACTTACCCAACTGCTCAAAGCGCTATTCTCGTCAGCCGAGTGGGTAATCCGATAGACGGCAGCAGGGATATCATCATGATCCTTCAGTGCGAGGATGACTGCCGAGTTCGATTGGACTGAAAAGTAATCGTAGAGAAAGCTTGAGCTGGACGAATAGATTGGCGGTGACCCGAACAGGACGCTCGATGCTTTTAGAACTTCACGCTAGTTGGGGCGGACATCAGCGCACATGCACAGAAAACGTAACTGGACAGAACACACTATCGTCCGTGAATCTGAGGGAGGATGGAGTAGCAAGTATAAACTAGGCGACTCCGACATAATACTGGGGAGATCTTCGTATTTGACCTCCTGGATCGCCCTGCATCACCTACGCGTTGAAAAATAGTGCAGCATTCGATATAAACATACGCACGGGCCAATAACCTTCTCAGAGAAGGCCTTCAGCTGTTCCAGCTTTCGCCCACCTGTATACTCGGTCTTCCCACCGCCATTGGGACCATAGTACACCAGCATGGGAAAACCGGTGACACCTTCGTTCCTGCACAGGGCATCATGTGCCTCACAGTTGACCTCCGCGATGGTTAATTTGTGTTGCATTTTACCGGCAAGCTGAGTCCATATCGGCGCCAGCTTCTTACAGTGCCCACACCTACACGGCGTTAAACCGAGTAGATGTCGAAACCTAAAATCACGTACCACGGAGCATAAAACTTAATGAAGACTGTCCCTTCCTTGATTGCATCTCCAAACGTCTTATCGGTAAGAGCTAAAACTGCACCTCTAGGATTGAGATCTCTGGCCGGTTCAGGTATTGGGTCATATTTCCCGTCTTGGGATGGTTCTTCAGCGTGAGGAATAGGAGCTGGTTCGGGCGTGGGCGTAGGCGGAAGTTTGGGCTTGGACGTAGGTTCGGCATGAGACGAGAGGTATGCGGTCAAAAGTTCATATTCCCGAGAATCGCCGTAGCTTTCAACAAATTGTCCGTTTCGATATAAATTCATCTGGGGATAACCGTCAACACCGTTCTTGCTGCACAGGTCTGCAATGCTTTATAAGAGTACCGAAACGATTGTGAGCGAACTCGCACACCTCCATTGATGGCACAGTTCACTTGCGCCAATCGTATTCCTGGGTCGGCTTGTTTGGCGTTGTTCTCAACCAGCTGGGTCCACGTTGGCAGGAATTTGCGGCAGTGACCACAGTATGGGGAGAAATGTTCAATGAACCTGCACCCATGTCTGTCTGAGTCTTGAGACAATACAAGAGATGATGATATGCTTACCAGACACCCTCAGAAATTGTGGACTCAAAATTGTCCGGCGTAAGCACCGTAAGTTCGGTCGAGTCCACTGGGAGTGCTTGAACAGCAACAGCCAATGCAGTCGCAAGGAGCGTATATGGCAACCGCGCGAGCATAGAATAGAGTCTCATGCCTGCAGAGCGATCCAGCCAGCTGGTAGTGTTGCAGTGGTGGAGAGGCAGAAGAAAGCGAGTGGAGGAAGGGTCTCAGGGGAGTGTTCGGCTGTGCGGGATGTCTGTCACGGTCCATTGATATCACAGTTACATATTTTTCTGTTCCGCCCAACTGGCGCCCCGATACGATGGAGACCTTTCGCTACGCTCATTTTCCCCTCGACTCCTCCGTCGTCCACGTCGCCCTCTTCACCAATGTCTCCAATGCCGCTCAGCTACGCTCACGCATCGTTCGGGCTAGCACCATGGTTGGTCCCGAGGGCGACTCCGAACGCGAAGCCGTCAACTATGCCTTCATCGATGCTCGGCTAGTTAGCACGTCCCTGCTCTGCTTTTCATCGCCACGAGCTCAATGTGTAGCCCTAGATATGCAGCGTTCTCCACTTGCAGACGGCCATTGTGCAAGCTATCTTAGCTCATGCAGAGGGGATATTGCGCACAAAGACTATCCATTCCGAGATTCTCTGGGCTCTTAGTCCCAATAACAATGTGTGTCGTACAGCCCACCCCCCGCCCCTGTCTGCTCAAACGTGAATTTACTCGCGTGCTCAGATTACAGAGGCTATCAAGCGGTTTGGTGTGTCGGACAATATGACTGCACTCATGGTTGTCCGGATAGCGTCCCCTGGCCTCGATCATGTTCTGGAGGGTATGCAAGCCATTGTCTCTGGAACTCTTTCGCCCATTCATAAACTTGGTGATGTGACTGATTGGGCTGGCATCCGGAAGGTTCGCGTTTTTGCGTATTTCCCGATCTATTCTGCTCACTAGTTAGTTATCTATCGACCTGAAGTATTATAAGCTCAACAATGATCCTGCGTTGAAAGTCCGTTCCAACGGAGATGCGGAACGGGAGCATGCAATCATCAATGAGATTGTTGTCAGCACAGTGGCAATGAAAAGTGTCATGTCTTAAACAGTGGTACGGAACCATGTCTTGTGAGTGCTGTTCTTTTCTGACGACATGACTTGCCGACCTACCATTGCCAATAGGTTGTGTTAATATCAGATTCCTGTACCAGCGCAGATGTAGTTCTGTGCCACAGTGTATCCATAGCGAGATCGAGTTGAATGTAATAAAAACCTAAACTTGTTATAATTGTGGGCTCGATGATCTCGGAACGATGGGCGCTACCGCTTCGACCATGCGACGATTTGGCAACTCCTTCACGATTGCGCATACGCACGTATTCAAACATTCTCAGAGTCGATCGCAAGTCTATCGTTGTCGTCTGATATTCGTCACGTCTGGCTACTGAGGGCCACGCTATAGGCTGTAGTTTCTCTGTATAGTTTCGGCTATGTCTGCAGCTCTGGCAGCACAAGTGCTCTTTAAGCGGTCATCAAGCTGGGCTCTGAAGTCTACTGCTGCGACCACTTTCCGGGCCTCATGCAAGAGGCAAAGGGGCATCAGGCACTATTCACAACCTAGTCAACAGACATCCACGGGAGCGAGAGACAGGTCAGCTGTGGGTGTAAGTATGATCTTTGCTCTTAGAAGCAGCCGACACTTAGTTGTGTCCTCATAGGTTTTCACTCCAAAAACCGCCGCTGTATTCGTAGCGACCGCGGTTGGACTCTACTTCTACTTCAGATACGAAAAGCAGAAGCTATTGGAGCAGCGCCGTGCGTATACCGTGCCGAGTTGTCGTCCATTTCTAAATTGTCCCTTCACGCAGAAAAGGAACTAGACGACAAACAAGTCGGCCGGCCTAATGTCGGCGGCGCTTTCTCTTTGACGACACATGAGAACAAGCCATTCACTGAACAGGACCTTCGCGGTAAATGGAATCTTGTGTATTTCGGATTTACGAACTGCCCAGATATTTGCCCCGAGGAGCTGGACAAGATGAGCGCAGCAGTGCATGAACTGGGTAATTTGATTTCTTAAGCAGTCCGAAGGTCTTCATTCTAACCCCATCACGCGTTATATTTCAGATAAACAGTACGGTCCTATCGTACAGCCCATCTTCATTTCCGTGGACCCTGCCCGAGACTCAATAAAACAAGTCGCGCGCTATGTGTCAGAATTCCATCCGAGGCTCGTCGGTCTGACAGGTGATTATGCAAGTGTGAAGGCGACATGCAAGGCGTACCGGGTATACTTTTCCACGCCGCCGGATGCGCGAGCGGATGACGATTATCTTGTGGACCACTCGATATTCTTCTACTTTATGGACCCAAATGGCAAGTTTGTGGACGCGTTCGGGAAGGCGACAACTTGCGAGGAAGTCATTGCGCGGGTGCAGAAGGAAATTACACAGTGGGAGGAGAGCACAGGGAAGAGGGTTTAGCTGCGGATGCAGATAATTCATTACCATCTAATAATACGACATGGCACACCCCACTCAATAATGACAGACTAGCATCGAAACGTCTGGCTTGTGCTGGTTGATTGAGCGCGCCGTAGATGTCACCAAGTGTGCTTCACGCCGGCGCAGCAGATAGGACCCAGGGGGAATAGAATGCATGGTATCACTCCTCAGCCTCCAGGGAAGCTGCCTTTTGTTTCGACAGCTGCTTCATCCGGCGAACGTAACTGGAGATTTGATGGTAAGACCGTAGAGAAATGACGGAGACGTTCACTCACTCGTCATACTGGCACCTGGCACATTGCAGCCGCATCAATAGGGCAGGGCGTGGAGGTAATATCATGGGGCTTACTTTTCATACGCATGACGTTCATTCTCGCACTCCCAAGGAAGATAATACTTCTCTTTCCGGCACACGTTGAGCGGCAGGAGAAGGCTGCTCCGACAGGCGTTGCATAATGGGACTAAACATGGAAGAAATGAAACAAACATACGCAGAGCATTGATCCCGCCAGGCAAGGGGAACCTTTGCGTCCTTGAGCTCTGTTTGTGAGGCGGTGGTTGAGGATGTCATGGCGGGTGTAACGCAGCAGCCTGAGCCGGACGGTCACGGCGAACGAAGGAGAGGCCGAGAAAGGAAGGATGATCCCACGCCACCGAGGGTATGAAAGGGTGTGTGACGGTGTTTGGCTGCGGCTTGTCACCTTCTCGTCACGACTGTCACTGTCCCAGCGCGGGCCCGCAACGGAACGTCGAGGAGGCGTAACGTCCAGTCGCCAGAGCGTAACGGTCACCGACGGAGAGCATCACAATAAATCACCCGCGCCCGATGAATCCTCCTTCACAACACCTCGACCCCGTCCACTCCTCCTCCCTCTCCACCCCCTCCACGTCGTCCCGCAAGCGATCCCGCGAGAATGAGACTCCTAGCCAGAGACACAAGCGTGAAAAGGCCGCCGAGCGCCAACGTCGCAAACGCGAGCGAGATCGACAGGCTGGCATGAACAATATCCTTGCCCTGTCGCAGGTTCAGCAGCAGCAGCAACAACACCAGCAGCAACAGCAATTACAACCACAACCACAAGCAATCCCGCAGCAGCCGCTCCCTCCTCCCGGCAGTACCCCTGTCCCCGTCCCGATGAACGTTGCCGTGTCGGTCGAAGCCCAGGCGGCGGCAGCGGCAGCGGCGGCGGCCCTTGCAGCGGACTATGCAAACGCAGACGACGGTTCATCGACGTCTGTCTCTCAGGACGAGATAGCAAAGCGGGAGCGTGTGCGTGCAGCGGCGCGAGAGCGGCAGCGCAAGCACCGTGCGCTCGTCAAGGCACGCAAGATGCGCGAACTCGGCATGGACATGGGTAACGAGATCCTCGCGGGCATCGAAGATGTCCAATACCGCCTCGATGCGGAGGGTGCGTACCAGCCCATGCTCCCACACGAGATGCCCCCACACCACACACATCCCCCTCATCCCCACGGCCTTCCTGAGCCACACTTCCCCCAGCAGGCCCCGGGCGGACAGATGTTTGCGTCCACCCTTCTGCTGTCGTTTTCGTGCGCACCATTGCTCAAGCAGCATCTCCTGCGCACGCTGCACATGACGAATGACGAACTGGCATCTCTCGAACCTATCATTGCCCAGGCATGGGAGCATTGGGATCAGCAGGTGAGACTCCTCTGATACGGTTGCTTGGAATATAGAATCCTGATTGATGATCTCCTGTCGCAGCGCCGGATGCACCAATACCATCATCCAGCCAACGGGCATAAGGCTCCTGATGGCACACAGCCCCAGGTTGACCCATCAGCACCCCCCTATGCTCCTCCCGGGATGGCGTACGTGCATGATCCGTCACAACCGCCTGCTGCGCCACCAGACGACTTTCGTGCTCGCTTTCATCGACCTCTTGTAGCACCTTCACCGTTCCGATCCGCGCTCGAGTCTGCACAGGGAGCAAATGCCTCCGTGCCAGGAGGTGGAGGCGGAGATACGATTGATCCGGCAAGCACAACGGGGGGCGAAGGTTCACGGCCTGCATCGTTATTGGGTGTGGGAAGCCTTGACCCAGCCCTTGGGCAGGCTCGAGATGAAGCTGCGGGTGTAGCGGGAAAGCTGGAACGATCATGAACATTACGAGCAAGTTCTCGAGCGCGCAGAGTGTGTTCTCTATGTGTGCTTTGACTCCCGCCATATGTTGCTGCCGAATACTGGGCTAATGACTTGTAGTTTATGTTCCATGTAGTATGTACTGTGTATCCTTGGGCAAGAATGGATGCCATTTCGCAGCCGTTCACAGCTGGTTGAAGGGAAAATTAGATTGTGCTTCGAAAGTGATGAGATTCATGTTTGGCGCTAATCGAAACCTGGCTTGATAATGCTCAGATAATCTGCATTCGGAAGCTTCCTTCCGGATCTGTGCTCTCAGCCAGAGTGAACTGGGACCTTCACTCCACTGTCAGTGTATTATTTGCACAAAACCAAACGGCAACACAATCTTGACATGCCACCACGTCTCAATAAACGGCAGCTGCGTGAGCAGGAAGAACTGCTTGCACTCGGGGCAGGGCAAGAGGAAGAGACAAGTGGTGAGGATGAACATCCTACGGCAGGGGGCGCTGGATTTGCTGCGGTGTGTACATGCTATTCTATGTCCTTGGATCGTTCCTCATGGATCGTCTCTCATCCAATCTACTATATCAGTTAATGAATGAAGACGACTCTGATGCGGACAATCAGGACGGAGCAGTCTCTCGCTCCGTCAAACCCAAGAAGGCTCGTGAGCCTGTTCCTTTCGGCCGGGTTTAGGGTGTGTTCTGACTGTACCCATACTCTTGAGCAGAAAAAGAAGAAGAAGAAAACTGCGGACGTTGCCCCTCCACCTCCTTCGACTGAAGCTACCTCACCGCCTGCCAAGCGCACCGCACCCATCGAAGCCAGAAGTGCTGCTAGTACACCAGCCGAACCCTTCAAGAAAGAAAAGAAGAAAAAGCAGAAAGCAAAGGGGAAGAAAGATGACAGGGACGATCTCGACAAGGCCCTCGCCGAGCTCTCGCTGAAGTATCCTGATCTTCAGCAAGCAGCCGCAGCTGCGAATGCCTCTCCCGCCGCCCGCAGCGTATCTAGCGCTCTCGCTTCACTTCTGTCCGTATCTCTCCAGCACCTTGATAGCGAAGCGGAGATGCGCAAGTTTTTTGGCTCCAAAGTCATTGCGGCAGCCAAGTCCTCTAGTGCGGGAGCGTCCAGCTCACGTCGCACCGTCGCCCAGCGATCGAATCTCACTCGACCTCAGCCGACGTGGTGGCCAGCACAGATGCGGGAGGGACTTTCCGCGCGGCTGCTGAGTAACGACGAGCTCAACGAAATGTACGCTCGACACGGGTGGGAACCCCTCGTAGGCGAACGATTGTGGTCTGTCGAATACAGCAAAAAGTACCGTGGGGTCACCTTGGCATTCATGCGGACTGTCATGTCTGGCGGTGGGTAGCGGATTCGAGAGTAGAATGCGTTAATAGCTGATTGTATGCGCCAGACCCGGAAGGATTCTGGCAGCTACTCAAATTCCTGCCGTATCATGCCGACACGCTACTCCAGCTCTCGGAGGTGTACTTTCATCGCGAAGGTGAGTCTGTTTGTGTGAGCCAGTCGTTCTTCCTAAAATAGTTTGCATCGCATCTAGAGCACAGTACGGCAGCGGATTATATCGATCGTGCGCTTTTCACATACGAGCGGGCGTTTGTTGGCTCGTTCAATTTCACCAACGGTGTGAACAGACTGGACTTCGATCAAGTCCAAAACAGACCATTCTTTCTGGCGTTACACCGGCAAGTCAGGTATGCAGGTGCGCCCATTCTCTATCCTGGTACGAGTTTCATAGTTTCCGTAATATAGCGATCTGCAGCGGAGGGGATGCGTCCGGGCTGCTTTCGAGTTTGCGAGGCTGCTCTATTCACTGGACCCGTGGACCGATCCCCACGGCGCGTTATTGCATTTAGATTATCTCGCGATTAAAGCCGGCATGAGCCAGTGGCTGCTCGATATGTGGGACTTCTTCTCATCAAAGGCCAATGATTCTAGCGGGTTTGGAGGCAGATTACGTGTCACAGTATTGCCTGGCTGGGTTTACGCCAGGGCGCTGGCCTTGTTCATGCGCGAAGAAGCAAAGGGGGATAAAGTTTGGCCTTTATTTACTGCTTCTTTAAAGCATACGCTGACATCAGTATAGGAGCATACGAGTAGCACGAATGCATTACAGGACGCAATCTTAGCCTTTCCATCGATTGTTCCTCTGCTTGCGGATCGGGCAGATATCCCGCTTTCAAGCACCATAAGGGGGCATGGAGCTTTTCGCATCCATCCGGATGCCAGGTATGTCCTTGCATCTTTTCCCTGATTTCCTGCTGAAGGTAATCATATAGCTCGCTGTCAACGCAATATACCGCTATTCTTCACCTGTTATCCCATCTATATGCACAGCGTTCTTTCTCACTTTGGAAGATTCCAGAGAATTCATCTTGGTTTGCACGTACAATCAACGCTACCCTCCCGTCTCTCCCTCCCTCATACGAGACCACCGCTCCTGGCTATGTCGGTTTCGTTTCACTTTTCAGCAAGCCCGCGCTCGCCCACTCTGTATACCGACACGCGATCGTCCTCGAGGCATCTTGCCGGCGGTTATTTGGGTTCATCCCTCGCCATGTCACCAACGCGAAGCACCTCGCATGCGATCCGCTCCCGCCTCCTACACGCGTAAACGAATATGATGCGGAATTCTTCAAGGGTGCGGAAGATGCGCTAGCAGCGCGCCCGAGGGGCCGGAAGGCGAGCGAGAGGGCGCTAGAGCAATTGATACCTGACCCAGTTTTCCGCAGACAGCTGCAGGTGCGTTTCCCCCCCCCCTTGTGCAATAAAACGCGCTTATCTATCTCTGAAACAGGCATTCTTCGAGGCGCACCCTGATTTTGCCCAGCGCTTTCCTGGTGGGATCGTGCAATTCGCTCAAATCGCTGCACAGCTTCCCGAGGAAGTCTTGGAGGATATGATGATAGCCGAGGCGGGTGGGGGCCCTCCAGCAAGAGGCGGTATGCCGGGAGGCATGCCCGGCGAAGATGAGATGTTGATACAATTTATGGAGGAAGGAGAGCAAGAACACCGTAATGATGTCCACCCACCTCCTCTTCTGGATCATGGAGGTGACGGAGGTGGTAATATAGACGAGGAAGAGGAAGTTGAAGAAGAAGAGGAAGGGTCTGAAGAGGAAGATCTTGCGGTGCGTCTCCTTTCAATACGCAAAAAAAAGGTGCTAAATTGTGTCATCTAGCCTCTCCCGGTGCGGCTGCTGCGAAACGTGATGAGCCGGTTCTGGGGAGGCAACGTCGCGGCCGAGTCTTCGGAGGAAGAGGACGAGGAAGATGTACAAAGACCAGGTGAATTGCAGCATCCTGACGATGAAATAGATTAAAAATCTGTACAGTATCATGAAATACCTATACTCAGTCGCTGGCATATTTTGACGAACTAAGGACGTGCTGTGTTTCCCCAGGATGAATAGCTCCTTACTAGCCACTGTCGCTGCCACATTGGTCATGTAGACACCATAAGCAATCTTTCTATTCACTATCGGATGGTCATGGTAGAAGTTGCATCTTATAGGCAACGACTCCAAGGCTACATGAAGAAAAGCACTCTTTTCAATGACATGACAGCAATTCAATCGCAACCACGGATTAAATAGTTCATCTATAGCAGTACATATATCCTACATCAGAAAGCAGAACTCTAGAGGCAAATCAAAAATCGTAAGCAACCCGTGCCCCCACCCACGGGTACGGATAATTGTGCTGGTAGAAATTCCGCACAGTACGGCGGTCACCGAGACGGGGAATAGTGGCGTAGGAAGCACCAAGCTAGACAATATCCACATCAATGTCAGGCAATTATACGTCTGCGGATAAAAGGGACGTACCACGACCTGATGTTTGGTGTCGAAGAAATCCGACGAATATCTGTGAATAGAAAATGAGCAAGTACGAAACATCTTTACACGAACATAGACACACCCAGGGAAAATCGTCGTGCCCTCGAAGCCCTCATGAGTATCAAAAAGGGTCGAGGACCACTCCCAAACACCGCCGTTAGAGCCCCTGAGCCCATCCTTCTCACATCCGGCAGTCGCGCTATGAAAGCCGAATCAGCGAATCAAAACTTTCAATTAACAGGATTGATATGCGTACGGCATAGGATGCCAGTTCCTGAAGCCCATATTGGCACCTTCCTCGTAGCCAACCTGGTACGTATCAAGGAACAGTCGCAGTTCCGGCTCTGTCGGGATCCTGCCGCCCTTCGACGCGGCATATGTCGCCAGGTCATCGTACGATGTAAGCACCGGCCAGTTGTGCGCAATCTCCATCGCGATTGGGCCATACAATGTGCGCACCCTAACTTCGCCGTCCTCCTCGACCCAGCTCGGGGGAATCGCGACACGGTCCTTGCCCGCGCCCCGCCAGTACGCGAGGAATTCGCCGTTCGTGACAGGCCGCCAGTCAATCTTGAAGCGGCCGATTTCGACAGCATGCTTGGGGCTTTCATTGTCCCACCCGAATTCGTGACCCTGGACGTCAGCCTCAAAGCCCTCAATGAGGTCCGCAGGTTCAGGATCATCGTGGCCCATGGTCAATGTACAGGGACCAAGTGTCGCATGCGGCGTAGAAGGGGCGGGGATATTGTCCCACTGAGCGGCCAGCTGAGCCCATGGAGGAGAGGCAAACCCAGGCGGTGGGAGCATGCCGGTGCCTGCGCGCTGAATGAGAATATACAATAATGTCTACGAGACAAAGCACAAGTAAGCTACGGAAAAATGGCACGACAAAATTCGTACCTCGATATGGAACCCGTCGTGCTCCAAGATCATCATGAGCGTGCGAGCCAACCTTCTCGTTAACGTCCGGGTACCCGCCTCCAGCTCGTCATATAACTTCGCGAGGCGTGCGCGGACCCTGTCACGGTAGGCGAGCACTTCTCCGAGTGCAGGCCAATCCTCGTCACGCTCTGGGACCTCTGAGTGCGAGTGACAGTGTTCTGGATCGTCTACGTGAGGGTCGATACCGCGCTCAAAAATCTTCGTGAAGCGTGCGGGGGCAACAGGTGGCTCGCGGAGGTATGCGGTCATGAGGAGATTGAGGAACGTTGGGAGATGACCCAGGTAAAAGAGTGGCTTATGGCGCAGGTCGATAGGTTTGCTGTGGAGGAGTGAAGGTGGAATCATACCGAGCGTAATGAGGTCCCATGCGCGCCAGCCATCTTGAAACTCGGACAGAGACGGGGTGCCGTAGGGATGGGCTGAAGTGTTCAGAACAGATGCAGAGGTGAGGGAAAGACGGGGGAAGCTGAGTGGGGGGCGCTCAAGGACATGCAAGCTCAATGGAGAGGCAGTTGAAGGAGAAGGAAGGGAGACAACAACACGGAGCGACGCGTCGGCGAAGATATTGAGTGCGGATGAATAGCTGCACTAAATTAGAGGATAAGCGAGCGTCAAGTAAAAAGGGAAACAATACACACTGAAGTCGTTTGAATATTGAGAGCATTGATATCGATAGAAGGGGTGCATGCGATTGTTGAAACTTGAGTTTTGGTCCTATAATATGAAATTTCTTTGCCGCCATCGTTGGTCTTCATGAGCTCCCATTTGTCCTTCTCACGCAAAGAACAGTCTTCCAGCAACTCAACCGCCTGCTCAAGGAGTGCGTTCGCGGGACCTGTCCCTAGGAAGAGCAGGATACGATCATCACTGCCCCTACGTGCAGGAAGAGACTTCAGAAAGGCAGCGCTGGGCTCATGCGTGACTATGAAATATGCCGCCGATTCTGCCTGAAAAGGAGTGGAGGGCGCTGTGGAGGGAGGAGACGCGGGGGCAGAAGAAGAATCAGATGATGCAGACGACATTTGGAAGACGGGACAGTGAGGTTTCAAAGCTGCACAAGATGCGCACTGACGCAAAGAGGAGGGGAGAAGAAGGTTTTATACTCAAGACGACAAATATTTACATGCAAAACACCACCTTATTTAAGCCAAGCGCGGCGGAGCGACGGAGACCAAGGGGCAGGTAAACTACGTACTGGATACCTCAAACATGAGCCAGTTTACACGAATTGGCACCAAAAATAGCCAAGACCATCGGAAGAGCATATCGCGTGGGGGACACTAAGACGGCATCGCATCAAGTCACGAGTGAGAACAGCGCCATGCAGGGGAACGGCGCGCTGGACGGGCACCAAAACTCCTAGAGGAATGAATAGGCGAGCGGACCACGTATCCCCAACCAAGCGAAATTCGGAATAAGAACCAGAGCGTCATCACAAGCGTCCGGGAAGCAGAAGAGATAACCCCAGGCGGAGGTGCCGACACACGTTATCACGAACACGGGGCACAGGGAGCATGATTGTCGTGGGAAACGGAGTTGAAAATGGCCATCGGGAGCGTCGAACTACCAGCATGAGACCAGAGGCAGTCTACAGGTCATCAGTATACCTGGCCAAGATGACCCCCAGATGCAGCCAAGAGAAGACACCGCGTGGAGTCGCAAAACGTCTGGACGAACGAGGACGATAGCGAAGACGGCGATAAGGTAACAGCGGGACATTGCATCAGTTTTTGCCCATCATAAACCGATACCGGAGGTAGGCGGCTGAACGCAGGAGTGCAGGGCTTCTCCATGGGGTAACACCTGTGAGTATCTGCACAAGGAGCAAGGAGCCGCTTCAAAACGGTACGGATAACAAGCGAACCGCTTGCAAGAATGACAGAGAAGACGCCTATGGCCTCCAAATGGATCAACAAGGAGCCAAATTAGCTAGCTGGGAGAGGTATCCATGCGCAACTTTGGTCGCGAGGGTACCCTCCCCAATGGAGGATGTCAGGCCTGGAAAGCGAAAATCTGATGTATTTGATTCAAGTGACGCACTCCAGCCCATAGATCCCAAGCGCAGCAAACGATGCATACCTATAACCATAGCCTTTCAATGAGGCAGCTTTTCGCCTCCATGCAGCTCCCCACATCACTCTCGAAACTCCCTCAAGCAGCTAGACCTGCAATGTGCGTCACGTGAGTCCCTTCGTGTGGCTTGTCGGATCGAAACCTAAGTAAAAACTTGCAGAGAGTATGGCTAACACGATGGTGGCGAACAAGCGACACAGAGCAGGGGGAGATGGAGGTTAAGACTGAAGGACGGGAATGGCGAACGGCGACCAGCACCAGAGCTCGCCATCCGTTTGGAGGTCCGACGATGGCGTGCTCTTGCGCAATGAGAAGATCACGTGTGCGCGCACCACGTCGGGCGACGCCACCGACAGCCACCGACGCGTCTCTCTCGTCCCCGCCGCTCTCTCGGAGTCTCCGCCTCCTAATACACACAACTAGCATTGTAAAAGGGGCTTCTCCTTGATGTATCTTCAAATAGCTGGGACTTGAGGTCATCGGCAGATGATTATTTGGTCCTCAGAATGCATTTCACATTGGAAGTTATCATTGGTGATTATGACTTCCTGGTGCATCAATAAATTCCGAGTAAACTACCCAACGGATTAACTGAGTGCTTTCAGTCTGATCATATGAATATATACATTGCTTCCAAGTTTGAGTGAAGAGCGATTCTATCGGTATGGCCACCACATTTATCATGGCTTTGACTGCCATTTCTAACCATTCTGCCCAGCCACAAATAGGCTAGATCATTGTGTCAGCCTGTCCAGATCACATATTTGTGCAGCGACGCCTTACACCTTTGAAAGGACAACCTCTGCGCGCTCTGCTACTTCTAGACAGCTCAGCGGTGCGATATCTTAGGAGCGCGGTTTCTCTAAGACCCTCAGTATCCTGTATGCCTCCTACCGCCCCACACGCTTGTATCAGCCCTGTTTACAGCTTCGGCGTTGCCTCCGTGAGGTGGGAGGACGGTCTCTTGGACAGCCGTGGTACCCTTCATGTCTGGAACAATGGCGGCTTGCAAGACCTGACCGGCCTTGTAACGAAAGCGTCTTCTGAGAGTCTTTTTGAGGAAGAATCTGTCCCTTCCGTCGTAATCTCAAGACCCGCTTGCCTGAACACTTCTCCTGTGCCAGGCTGTACAATGCCCATACCCGACGCTTGCCACCCTGGTTGTGGACCAAGGCTAGTGCAATTGGCAAGGGGAGCAGCGCCGACATGGGAGTGCTTCAATCCCGAGTTAGTGCGTCCCCAGTATCTATCCATATACTCCCGTCGCAAAAGCTGAGCGAGACGAGCGATAGGAATACACAGTCCGCCGAATCAACATACGTAAACGCGGAACAACTCCGTTCCAGATGAAGCTCCCTGGAATGCTAAAACGTCTGAAGGTCCGTGACGGCTGTATCGTGCCTTCGCAGCCGGAAGGTACGCCAAATCCGCTCTCAAAATCGATGCGGAACCCCACTGCGGAACCCCATGATCTGGCACTTGGAAACTACATGCGACATGCTGGCGTGTCTGCGTCACAGTCGGCGGAGATACTGAGGAACTGGCTCCGTCCGCATCGCTCTGGCTGGTCTGGAGCCACCGTGTGCGGTGGAAGTCCACGCTTTCGCCTCGGCTTTGTTCACCCACGAATCCTTCAGCACCGCACCACAGCGCATCTCCCTGTATCTACTCCACTTACAGGTCTGGATATCGGGTCTCAGGTTCCAGATCCTCTCCTCATATCGCAGCGGTCCTTTGCCCGCATTCCCCTCATTTCGGAACTCGCTGGAGAAGCACTTACCGCTCGTGCCGACTCTGCCGCGTCCTGTTCCTGGGAGGGGAGCGTTGTGCTGACGTCCATGTCCTCTCCTTGTCTTGTTACTGCAATCGGCGTGCCTCCATCCAACTCTTGGGACGAGATTGTGCAGGATTTGGTGTGCGCTGCGACAGAATACCGACAGTGGCTTGAATGTCCGGTCGACCTCGGTGTATTAGTTGAAGGCCTTGGCTTCCTTCCCGATACCAGTGATAAGTTGAAGACAACAACATCGGATGCTTCTGTAGTAGACTGGTCAAACTCCACAACCATTCGGCCGCCCAGTTCTAGGTAAATGTGGAATCCTTTGTCGTCGACACTCACAGTCAAGGCTGGACATCCATGCAAGAGCTGATTTCCCTGATCGAAAAGTCTTTTTCTCTTCCGACCAGCTACGCGTGGTCTCCTATACTAGGACTATATTGATGAAAATCGAGATATCTTTACTGGGTTTGCGTCATCTTTACAGGGTAATCAGGGTGTTCTGGTTAATGGGTGGGCACTAGGAGTTGCTCACAGTCGTACTCTCGTTATGTGCTGTCGTATCACTGGTGCTTTATGATTCATATACAGGGCTTTCAACCGGTTTATTTTTGGATATATAGAATTGCTTGGAATTGTATATGGACGTTTTGTTGGAGTAGCGGAGATCGGTGAGTTAGCCTTCAAACCTACTTTTATACATGCCGGTAGCGCATAGAAGAAAAATGCGATCGGACCATTAGTCCAAATTTCATCGGAAGACCGCTATTGAAAGATTGTTCAAACACATGTGATTATCGGAGTACACCTCAGCAGCATCATACCGCGGGCAATATAAGGCATTTGTACCGGCATATGGCAGTGACACAACGGAAATATAGTTCATTGTCTGTGAACATCAAGAGGAGCTCTCAAGTTGACAGATAGCCAAGAAATCGCGCGGTATATACATGTCAAGTAATTTGTTGTATCCAAACACGATGCCTTCTAACCATTTGTATCATAGCAGAGGTCGGACACGCAATGATACCTTCGCCCCGAGCTCTCCCACAACAGACGGGCGTGGCAGGAGTCCCCTTACAGTCTTGACTTTGGTATCGGGCCCATCCTTAAACTCAAATGCATAATGACGAACCATGACGGACAACACCGCCTATGCAGGCATCCGCATCAACACAATAGGAGATATCGAACTAGTCCACCGGGACATACCTTAAACTCGGCCTGCGCAAATCCGCGTCCGAGGCAGGTCCGCGGACCATCAACGAAAGAGAGCAAGTGACGGTGGCCCTGAATATCTTGTGCACGCTTCGGAAGACCATCAGGACACAACCATCGCTCTGGGTCAAATTTCTTCGCGTCCGGGCCCCAGAACTCGCAAGAGCGGTTCATACAATGGATTGGGACGGTGATTGCCTGGCCTTTCGAGACTGCGACATGATCGACGACAGCCCCAGCGGGAGTTCTGAAGGGAATGGAGAGGGGAAGAACGTCATCCGCGGTTGCCTGTTGATGCGCAAATGAGTAGAAAGAGGGTTGAATGAGAGAAGAACAAACCACGCGCGTGGTCTCGCCAACTGGAGGGTGATGACGAAGATTCTCGTGAAAGACGGCGTCAAGATATGGGAGGCCGTTCATTAGCTGATCCCATGACGGGTCGCTGCTGGAGAATTGGGAAAGCTCCTCACGCAACTTTGTCTGAACTTCAGGATGTCTACAAAGTTCGACGAGAGCCCACTACAAAGATGTATAAGACCTCCGTCGGTGAGGGAGTGATGGGACAGACCGTTAAACTGACTGAAGGATGGATAATGGAGCAATTAATAGGAGTCAAACTACAACATGAGCGCGCTTACTGGACGTTGATTCAAAACCAGCAAAAATGAGAGTCTTCATCTAGTGAATCACCGTCATCAACGCTATTATAACTGACATGGTAAGCTACTTGCCTCTGCCAAAACTTCGTCCCGAGATAACTGAGACGAGTCAGCACTGCCGCTCTCCGCTTTAACTGCACAAAGTGTGAGAGAGTGACGAAGCCCATCCTGCATTGAGATCACGTACTCAACAGACCTATGATACTCTTATCGTCTATCTTGACACCAGTTTGGCTCTCCTTTTGTATGTTATTGAGCAATTCCTCTCCAACTTCCCCCATAATTGTATTCAGCCTCTTGACCAAGACTCGAAACTGAGTAGGGGCCCTGGTCAGGATTGGAAACACGAGCCCAACGACGAATGTTGCGGTGTTCAAGAAAGTAGGCTTGAGCATGCCGAAGGCCCCGAACAATTCGCCGACCGCAGAGTGCCTCCCGTGCAACGTGCCGAAGTCATGAGAAAACCCAGCAATGCCAATAGAATCAAGGCTAAATGGAAAGCACAAGTTGTATTAGTTTAAGAAATTAGAAGTGAGGAATGCAGGGGTGAGTTGGTGTTGGGTTGTACCACGCTGCTCAATGACGAAATAATGAGATTGAGAATAAAAGACCCACGATAGATGGTTCATCCTGTATCAATATCAGCTGGAGCGTAATCGAAGCGTACCAACCAATTCAACACACCAGCTTTGCACTTCGATGATGGCTGAATCTCCCGACTCGGATTGAATCATGCTATCCCATGCCGACTTGATCTTGATGCGGACCCAGATTAAAGAAGTTCTTTCGCTAATAAATCAAATGATTTATTTACCTTATATGCGGAATCGAAGAAGATAGGTGTCAGTGCGCGGACAGCTACATTACTGAACGCAGGTGATAGCGACTTCCTTTGTCTATGCAAACCCGCATTTTAATACTGTAAACTAAGTCGCGTGGGCGGAAGTAAATAACATACCTTTTATGGCTATCACCTTCGGCCCACAATACTCCTCGACCGACCTACAACGACTGTCACCAAGCGGCACCTCTACCTGATGGACTTCTGAACACTTACGGTGTTCTCAATGGATCTCTTTGTCACTTCAGTCCGCACATACCCAAAGGTCTCGCGTGAGTAGAAATGTGAAATTGCCTTCGGGTCGCACAGAATAACGCGAGAAACGCCCAGTGCTGCAGGCACCTTGTAAACAGAGCCATACGTCTGCGCCCATTGTTCGTAAATTAGCCCGGCATCTTGGGAGTCGGAAATAATGTGGCCGATACCCAGCAGCCAGCTAGGATTGGGTGGGCCTTCAAGAGGAGTCGAGTGGACACGGCGACGAAAGTAAATAGTGAGTTTGTACGAGAGCCAAATGGCGAGGACACCAATAGCCGCTGTTAGAAAATTGACTTGACCGTCAAAGGCTAACGTCGACATCATGAGCATTGTGACACTGAACAAGATGGGCCTTCGGGCACTGAGGAAATTTATCTTATAGAGGACAATGTAGACGCGCAGATCCGTAGATAGCCTAGTATCTTAGCTGATAAGTCGATGGATGACCGCCACTCGGCATTCACGGGCAGTTCGCCCGCAGAGTACACTCGTTCTGGAATATCGCCATCAGTTAGCACTCGATACCGAGGGAAGTGAGCGATATCCTATACCCAATGTGAATTAGTGTCAAGAATGCCACATATGCAATGAATGACCGCTGAACTATGACCGTGAAGCCGATATTCTAGGGCGGAAAACGATCTCTAGGGTATTTTCCCTAGAAGGATATGTCTGTGGACCTAGCTGGAAGATGCAACGTGGTGACGGAGGCTCAGGTAATACTAGTCAAGTCTGGACAGTCTGACATCGATGCGTAACAAGCATCGATTATCACCCATGTTCCTGTGCTATCTGGGTTCTTCTAGAGCGAAGGGGATAGATGAGAATGGAAACTACAAGAAAATTCGCACTAACATCGGTGGCATCACACTTCTCGTAATGGTCCTAGGAGGTGTCCAGTTCAACAATTGGCCTGCTGATGTGCTTTTAAATCAAGCTTGGCCATTCCTACAGAGTAGATCAACATGGTTTTTACACATGACCTCGCAGGTATCGCTGATGCAGTCAGGCGTTAGAGATTATATGCGCATGTAGATTGAGTCGGTTGACTAGAAATCAACTCTGCTGTATATAATGATAAACGCACGCAATCAAGTCTGGTAGTGCACTTCTGTCGTATTATCATTTTGATCGCCTAAGCGTTGCTTATCGAGGTCGCGACAATCCGTCTCCCGTAGTTAGCCAGCTTTCAGAGGTGTAGACGGAAAATATGTCGCAAGAAGTATTTGTTGATAAGAGCTGTAGGTCTTTGGGTATGCATGAGCGGTGTATGTGCGCGCGATTCATGTGCACCGATAGGACTTACCGTGAAATACATGAAGGAAAGGCAATCACTGAGCTGAATGGCGGTAAATAAGGGGCACAAAAAACGGCCTCCGAGTATTGCCACCTCAGCTCGATCAAGTTTGAAGTCCGCGGACGGGTACCCGATAAGGAAAACACTGTAGGTGACTGGTCGCTGCGCTGAGATGCCGGCGGAATTCGTCTCCGTCCACACGCCAATGCTGACTCGGTGTTGCCATGATTTCTTCCCGCCATCTTCAACTCGTTTCCCCCCACCATCTTCCCTGTTGGCACCGATAGCCTCGGGATGTACACAGTCATTTTTGGCGTTTTCGCCGTCTGGCTCTCATACAAGCTCGTCACCCATCTCCGTCGCCGGGCTCGTTCAACTCTGCTTGCAGGCCCACCCAACCCTAGCTGGCTGCTAGGTGTTGGCCGTTACCTCACAAAGTCTGCCGATCCTGGGCTGGTATACGAGCAATGGGCGAAGGAGTACGGCTCTGTATACAAGGTTCCTGCGACTATGGGTTACTCTCGCGTCGTTCTGTGTGACCCGAAGGCGATCTTGCATTTCTACTCCCACGAGACGTTCGGGTATATGCAGACAGAACTTACCAAGAGGTCTATCGAGAATATTGTACGTGTCGAACCTGTCTATCTTCTGCTGAATCGCGGATCACCAATTCGTGCCCCAGGTTGGAAAGGGAATCTTATGGGCTGAAGGTGAAAGTCATAAAAGGTGTGCTTGGCTCATCTATCTGATGTCGCACTGACTCATTCAACACATCAAGGCAGAGGAAGGCCCTGTCGCCTGCCTTCAGTAATGCAGCCATCCGCAGGCTGACGCCTGTATTCTACGACTCTGCATACAAGGTATGGATTTGCTCCCGAAATCTATGTAGTCTGAGCAGAACCAATACCCATGCAATGTCTAGACTAAGGCTGCTTGGGACACCTTAATTCAATCTGGCTCAGAGGACTGGGCGATCATCGAAGTTCAAAATTGGTACGCCAAGTGGAATTCTATGTCCATGTAGATTCAAACTCACGGTGTTGTAGGATGAATAATGTTTCGTGAGTGTTTTCCAGCAATTTCAAATCTGGCGTGCCGCCTTTGGGGAATGCGCTGGAGTCGAACAAGAGTTCTCGCCGCCGCCTCATGGATGTCGAGTTATCCTTGCCAAATATTGGCGCTACGAGAAGTCGAAGTGCACTTCGTCTCGCTAGCACGTTAAGGTGACTAGAGACACGGGGTCGATACCTTGAGTCACGATCTTGTCCTTGCTTCACTTGTGCGATGCCATCTTCGAAATCTTGAAAGGCAAACGAAGTACCCCGTCATTTTGTCTCACTTCCCAGTAATGCAGCCTCGAATGCGTTGCTTTCGATCTGAGGTTGAGGTAACTGATCTCAATGTACTGTTACTGACATTATGCCACAGCCTCGACTCTGTCGGTATCGCTGGTTTTTCGTACGACTTTGGCACATTGCACGGAAAGTATTCGGCTGTCGCAGATTCCTTTGCGTCGTTTGGCACGCTAAAGCCTACCCTCCTTGGTGCTGTGACGTTCATCGTTGGACTTGCGCTTCCCATCCTGACAAAGATTCCCACCGACTTTCGTATCCTTGTCAAACGGCTTAACGCAAGCATGGGAGAGATTGCGGACGAATTGCTCGCGAATATGCGCAAGGAGAGCGAGGGAGAGGTTAAGACGGAGGACAAGAGTATCATCGGACTGCTAAGTGAGTGGTCCTAAGAGTGCCTCCGCCGCCTTGATTGGAATTTGAAATCGGTGTACAGTCAAGGCAGAAGGCAGTGATGCCGAACTACGTTTGTCACAGGAAGAAGTGATGGCACAGGTAAGTCTGTACTATTGAATCTCTGTATTTGAGCTCACGACCATGATAGATGAAGACGCTCATTCTCGCTGGATACGAGACGACGTCTGGTGCGTGTTGTTGTTGCGATTATCTCTGCCACCCTAACCTTTGTTGAACATCCAGTCAGCCTGACGGTCTGTCACATTCTTGTATATCGCCGACAGACAACCGATCATTTTCCCAGTGGGCGCTCATTGAACTCTGCAAGAAGCCCGAACTGCAGACGAAGCTGCGCGAAGAACTTTTGCAATTCTCTAGCAACGATCCGTCATGGGATCAGCTAATCAACAACCTCCCGTTCCTCGATGCCGTGTTCCATGAGGTTTTGCGTCTCCACCCTCCGGTTGGTGAGACCACTCGCATGGTATGTGCCCTTCATTCGTGGATTTTCTATCCTCTCATCGGTGATGCCAGGCATCCTCAGACGACATCATCCCGCTCTCGACCCCGCTTCGGACACCTTCTGGCACGATCGTCGACCGTATCGCAATTCCAAAGGGCCAGGTGGTTACGGTCCCAATCCACAGCATGAACCGCTCGTGTGAGTTTTGGGGCGCGGATGCGAAGGAGTTCGATCCAGAGCGATGGTTACGCCCAGATGGCCTACCCAAGCGCGCACAGGAGATCCAGGGACATAAACATTTGCTCTCTTTCGTCGATGGTCCACGGATCTGTCTTGGGCGCGGATTTGCGCAGGCCGAATTCAAAGTGCGTCTTGGGTCTGTGTAGTCGAGGTTCATGCTGACACTTACGGCACAGGCGGTGTTGTCTGTCCTTATCCGCAACTATGTATTCGAGTTCAGAGATGGCCCTGATACCAAGATCGAAATCGTGAGAGGCATTCTCCCTCGTCCTGCCATTGCGGGGGAGACGGGCGCGCGGATTCCATTGCGCGTTCGACGGGTAGAGTGATAGTATGTGGATATAGTGTGTGTGTATCTATGGGACATTTTGTGCACCATTCTCATGGGACTAAACATGGAAGATGTTCCTTATCTATCAAAGTCCTCCCGCTTTTAGTTCGCGCATAGCTATTCATCTGCTTGGCCATATTTTCTGCTCTTACGGGTCATCCCGGAACTCGACAGCTCGAATGAATCGATCTAATCACACCTTACAAGGGGAATTGACTTGCTGTAACCGTGTGCATCAGTACAAAGGCCCGGAACCTTGCTCATGGGGTAGATGCACTCCTTTCCGATACTTCGACGTGGCCACACGCCTCGAGGCGAGCTTCTCATTGATTAGGTTGAATCATGGGAGGGATCGTGTTATAAGCGTGCACGGTCCCTACCTGTTCACCTCTTTCAAACACCTTTGACCGCTTGAGCACACGCCTAATTACGGGTACGTTCTTGGATGTTTTCAACAAGTAATAGTACATCGTCACTCACCTTTCTTCAGGCTCACCCGTAGGACGATGGTCTCGAGAAGCCTGGAACTACATCCATGTATAGTCGACGAGCTCCTTGCCCTTCAATCCGCAGAGATTACCCGATTGCGCACGGAACTCGAAAATGAGCAGGTGGGTCGACTCGGAAGACCACTCTTTTAGTTCACGAAGCAAGCAGACTGACTCGAGGATGGGGAAGGCGCAACATGAAAAGGCAAAGCGGCGATTCGTCACAGCTGACGACCTGGGTCAACTACGAGAAGAGTTGTATACCCACGCCTCATCCACGCGCACAGTATGCCCGTCAGCCCTCGAGATCATGATCGTCTGACTTAGTAGAATGTCAAGACTCGCGAGGAACAACTGCAGGTAGGGCAGCTTCAGCCGTATCGGACGCGGATCACGCCTGGATCTAATCGCCTCTGCAGGATTTAGTGAGAAAGCTAGAGGTTGACCTCGAAGAAGCACGGATTGTTCTCTCGCAATCTGAGGTGCGAGACATGGTTTGGTTTCTTAGTCTCAAGTTAAAATTGCGGGTTAGAAACGAGAAGCGGAGCTATTGAAAGACTTTGAGGATGTCGTCAGCCATCGGGAAGTCGAAGCCGCAGATGCGATGCATCCAAAGGTATCTAAGACTGTCTCCAGTGGTCACTCTCGCTAATCCTGCGTAACTTCACATAGGAATGCAGTGCTGACCTTCAAAGGCAACTGGCTCACAAGAGTCAGGAAATTGAAATGAGCCTTCTTCGTATGGAAGAATTGGAAGAGTCTCTCTCGAGGGCTAAGGCATATTCCAGTCTCCTTTGCGAGTTGCTCACAATCTGATTATAGTCTTGCAGAATGAGCTGAATGAGAAATTACATGATCAGACTCTAGATAAAGAACAGATGGTCAGATCAATTTGACATCATAGACTCCGCATTAAGTGATCAGGCTTCTCTTATAGGAGGAAATGCGAAAAGAGCTCAAGAGTATCTCTGCTGAGAAACATGCGCTCGACGAAGAATTGCAATCTAAGGTGTGGGCTTATACGGTCAGTTCATTGCTCCGAAGTAAGATATCGTCTCATAATCTTCTAGGAAAATATAAGAGATTTGCAGAGTGTGATACGCTCGCAAGATTCGGAGCTGTGCACTTTGTATGCTCGACTTAAAATTGAAGGATCACAGGTGAGATTGGTAGCAAGTAGGACACCTATGGTTTATGTTATCGCCTTCTCTCTAGTTGACATCTACGTCGGAAGAACTACAAAAGTCTCGTAGTGCGACGGAGGCAAGTACCTGAGGGCTAGATTGACTTGAACTTACATGTACTTATCGACTGTCGGGACTTAGAGCTGCGAAAGCGTGTTCGAGTCGCGAGTTGTTGCACAAGCGAGCGATCCATTGCGGGCGGCGCCACCCGGAGCGAGCATTCAGCAAATATTTGGGCCATTCGCACGTCAGGCATCAAGTTTTGAGAAAATCAAGCAGGTGCGTACAGTCAGATATTTGTATGCATATCAAGATTCATTCAATGACCACAGGTGCTGTAAGTCCGTCTTTCCTGGTTATGCAGTCATCCTCACGGCTATCGCGGCAATGTAGGACTCCCAACATTATCCAAGTGACAAGCGAGCTCGAATGGAATGATTGTCCAAGAGTGGGATTTTACATTAAGCCAGAGAAGAAACGCAGCAAGAAGAAGTGGTCGAGTGCAAAAGCCTTGAAAAATACTCCACAGGGCAAGATCGAGCTTATTGCGAACCCATTTTTTTTTCAGAGTCGGTTCTGTTACCTCGGGACGTACACCGTATCCGCGCCCCAGAAAATGTCGCCGAGCGAGTTCCAGAGCCTGTCAACGCGGGTGAGGTCGATTGCTCTGTTATGTGGCCGAGAGTGTGCTGACGAATAGGTGGTTCAGATCAAGGACCGCCTGTTCGCTGCGACTGGGAAGGCGAAACATGTGACAGAGATCCGCCAGATGTATAACAATGGGAACGCGGCAGCGTTGCTGTTCAAGGTCACTCGCGTAGGTTTCAATGTCGAGCTATACAATCATTTCTGCGGGCTGGGAACTTCGTAAAGAGACTAGGATATTAGCTCCTACTTATTGCCCCATGACGGGCAAGTACCAAATACGAAGCGCACCAAACTTGAACGGACATGGTGCGTAGTCGAGACGGAGGAGGCATTAGTCGAGCGAGATTTTATCGCATTTTCGCCAATGTACATGTACGACCCTACGAGTCAGAATATGAGAATCATTCCTTGAGCCATGTAAACAGAAAACACACACAAGAGACAAGAAACTTAGAATATATATAACCTGGAGACTGGGCCGCTGGCAGCCCGCTGCTACGGACAGTAGCCCGGGTACAAGGCTGGCAGCAGACGGGCGTCCGGCAACAGGTGCCGATGCGTCAAAGCATCACCGTGGGCGCCTGAGAGGGCATCTACTCGCCCCGTCTCATAACGAATCCGTTCTCCAGCTGTGTGCCTTTAGCTTCGCCCTCAGCCGTGTAACGTACTCGCACTGTGGCATAAGCGTGGTCAAATATCACATCGATGGTCTACTTACAGATCTCCGATGCTACTGTCCAGAGCCTGCTGACTCTCCAGAGCGCGGAGATCGCACGTCTCCACCACAAACTCGCGGATACAGAGGTGTGACTGCCCAGGCATCCTGTGGTGGGGATTAATTCACACATATTTCAGTCTCAATTCGACCAAACGATTACCTATAGACCATCGCAAGACAGCGATGGTTCGGACGTGAGAGTACTGCGAGAGCAGCTGTGCGACTTGGTGGACAAGGTACTTATTCGATTCTACTACAGTCTGATAATAAGGGTCAAACTGGTCATATTTCGCAAAGATAAAACCTATCCAAATGATTCATAGCGTGTCAGAGGAATTAGAAGCTGCGAATGTAAAACTCATGCTCTATGCTCAGCATAGACTGCCTTTAATCCGCAATGGTGTAGAAATCCAATCTAGAGCTGCAGATGAGCTTCGAAGAACTGAAAAATGATTTTGTTACACTCCGTGTATGTTCCTTCTATCTCGACATAGCCTGCACATGATCATCACACCTGGACAGACTGAGAAGGACGAAATTTCTGGTATGCTTCAGTCCGAGAAGGAGAGCAAAGCTGCATTAGAGGAGGATCTCGCTCAACTGCGGGTATATTTCACATGGCTTGCTTGATTCATCCAAAGTTCAAGCTCGATCGCGTACCAGGCTTCCCACAAAGCTCTACGCAAGAGAATCCGCGATCGAGAGCGCGAGCTGGACAATACACACAAAGACTATCAGGCTTGTATTACTAGTTCATTTTCATCAGCATAGCTCATACAATATTAGCAGATGCGAGAAGCGAACCTCAGGGCCGAATGGGCGATGTCAGAGAACGATGTGAAGGAGGAGATATTCTCGCTACTCAATGAGCTTGATGACCAGCATGTGAGTTGGATTCTAAATGGGAATTCTCTACGTGATGATCTCTGTGCAAGTAGGTGGTGACAGACGACCTGCGACAACAATTTTGTGAAACAACTACTGAGAAGAATGTGAAAGGATTTCAACTTCACGAACAACTGGAGCTGTATCGAAAGGCTCAGGTAATAGCTGCGACATTGCACATACTTATTTTATTATACTGATAGACGTGTTCCGCAGATGCAGAAAACAATAGTACATGTGCAAGAGCTCGACGCTGTTCGTGCTGAGCTTGCGACATGCCGAGCAGAATTAGAGGCAGTGAAAGTTAGGATTATCGTCATTATGTGGCCTTGCAACTAATGGAAATATCCGCAGCAGGCAGAAGTCCGTAGTACACTGGAAGTCCCGGCAAACGATCCGTTGCGAACAGCCGCTATCGATCATCCTGTCCCTGTCATGACATCGCTAACCTGGTCAGAAAATCTGGACAAAATCAAGACGATGTTTGTCCCTATCACCAGTACAGCCAGCCTTGAGACATTTACCAAGGTTAGTCTTCTGCTATCATATTGCGCGCCATTTGCAATAATCTATATGCCATTTGTCTAGTTTCTGTGAGTGGCTCTCGACTTAGTGATATGCTGTCGCTTTCGTGACTGACGTGCTTGGAATAGCGGAGCCAACGTACACATGCTCTCCTCGAACGGAAAGAATAACTGCAACTTTGTTTGGACCGATTGTCCCAACTCTGGACTTTTTGTTATCCAAAGTCAGGATCTCACGTCAGGAGACTCCTGGGAGCCTTGCGAGCAGAGCGTAATGAAGCAAATGCAAAACTGCGAGGAAATCGAGATCGTGTACAAAGCGTTCTATCTTGGTACATTCAAATGCGCAACCCCAGAGGTCATGAGATCAAACGAATTTTGTGCCCTCCCCAAAGAGGTAGGCTTGTTCCATTGTCTGTGCTGGGAATCTTGTGTGCTAACAGAACCTCCGAATTAGGTACAGTTGTCAATAATACGGGCATCCAGCTGCGGTCATCTTGGCGAACCTAAAGTGCGTGAAATGTTTTTGACCGGATCGTTGACGGCCACAAAGCTCCCGGTATGCAAAGTTGGATATCGTCCTTATATGACACATCTTTGCCGGGTACGCATGAATAAATGATTCCGTTTGCGAACAGTATATGTCGTAGTGGTCTCCTCGGCCGCGGGTGTTATTTGAGTTGGTACCTACTGTTCCAATGTGACTGCTCGCGATAGGAAAGCATAGGATTGAGAATGCTTAACATTTAGAACCGACGATTCATTCGGCTCCAAGAGCAACCAGTCAACTGTCGTATTTGCACATCAACACGCTCAGTGGCCTCGCGTTCGCCTCAAGGTGAACTTCTTCAAGATTAGGTTCAGGATAAGATTCATATATATATATTCACATGATCCCAGAAGTGCGTCCTCACGAAGTACGGATCCTGTCCGGTGCCCTCAAGGTCCTTTGGTCCGGTAGTTGTGTGGTGATCTACCCGGCTGCAGGGCAAACGCACCTAGGGCTCTCTCCAGTATCTGTGGTACCTATCTACTTTGCCAACATACCTTTTCAGCGATAACCGCCGGTCTTATTATCTGTCATGGGCTTGCATGCAATTGAACTCTCTTCGTCTGTGATAGGGACACTCCTCTCATTACAGTCAGAAGAGATTTCTCGTACTCACTTGGAGCTTGGAAAGCTGAAGGTAAATCGTGTGTCTTGTATGCCTTCCTCCTCTGAGGGTTCATAACATTATCATTCCGGAGCAGGAGCAGCAGAATAAATGTCGCTTTGTTACATTTGAGGATATTGATTCCCTGCGAAATGAGTTTCAAGCGCAGCTAATTTCAGAGGAACCAGTGCGTGTCCTCTTGAACTTGCTATCCTATGACGTCACAGGCCATTTGATTTAGACGGCGAAGGGGTGCGAGATCACCTTCCTGAAAGAACAGCTAGCTGCAGCTGAAGTTCGTTTTCTTTCGACTTCTATACTATATATATGGTTTCCGACCTTGCTTAGCTCTCCGCAAGCGAATTGCGCACTCAACTTGAAAACGAGCAGATTGCAAACGAAAGCCTGAGGGTACGTAGGCTCTATTCGAAAATTATCTGTTTCCAGGTGATCGAATGATCTCCACAGATTGCTGCGGTCGACCGCGACAGGGCACACCGAGAGACTCTGGATTATAGCGGAGAAGCTGTGCAGAGTATTCAAGAGTTACGGGTCAGTTCACGCAACCCGGATCAACTGCTGGATACCTAGTTGATTATGATATTATTTTTGCCAGGAACGGTGCACACATCTCAACGTGCAGCTTGAAGAAGAACGTGCCTGTAATGAGAGCTTGAAGTCAAACTCCCAGCTTGTTGGGGTATGTGATAATTTCCGAGTGAAGTTTTAGTCGACCTCATCTCTTGTGTGGTATCAAGGATTTGAGGAAGCAACTATCTGAACTTGAAAAAAACTTTGAGCTGCATCGCAGTCTCTTTGCGAAAGCTCATCATGATTTTGAGGTACGTGCTGACACTGTTGTGTGACATCTTTCATAAATCCTTGTGTTTGACCTAGTCGACAAGCGTATCCTTGGCACATGCACTCGAGGAAAAGACTGCCTTGGAAAGCACAATCGACCAGCTCACCACTGAAATGAACGATCAAGAGGTACTTCTTTTGTCATGTGATTCTCAATGATACAGCTCAGGCTGAGGATTGTCGGATGCAGCTATTTATTGGAAATTTGCAGCAACAACTGCGAACGCGGGACCAGATGATTTTGGAGTTGCAGGTATGCCGTGACGTCATGTTGTAGATTCATGTTCTATCCTAAATGTAAATCAATTTGATTTAGGCATCACGGGCTGAGGTGATAGACAAGGCACATTATGATGACCGTATTGCCGCGCTGCTAAGTGAACTGTCGCACGAGAAGGTGTGTATGCTCTGCGTTGTATATAAGAAGACGATGGCAATGAGCCTGTGAGTGGATAGGAAACTGTGGCCGACTTGAAGGAACAATTGTTACAGGCTGCCTTTACTCAGGAGTCTAAATCTGTCGCTCTTGGAGCAAAAATCCCAGCATTGGAGGTGAGAATGAGTCGATCTCTTGGCGGTCAGCTTCAAGCTATATACTTACACGTAGTGTTCAATCCAGAGGTCAGACACTCCTGCCACTGATATAACGTTCCTCGAATGTGACTCGGAGCAGATGGAAGATGCTATTGCAGAACTCTCGTCATTGGTATGAGTCTAGCATGTCACGTTTACTCTGGCTCCGCAAACCTATAACTTTGTCTAGGGAGATGTGTCTGAGTCTGCTACGATGCCAGAAGATCAGAAGAAACAGCCTGTACTTGATCTGTCGGCATCTCAAACACCAATGCCCTCTCAATTTGCGACTCAGCTAAGCGATGCTCAAGACTCGAGCGAGGACGCTACTCCCACTTCGTCAAGCTGTCACATCACCCACAAACGGTTTGGCAGTGTCCCCGAGTGTTCAGCGATCATAAAGGCTAAGTTCCATCCTCTGACCAAATCGCCAAATGGTAGTAACATATCCAAGGTAGGTGTTGGCTCGAGAAGAATCAGGGTTTCAGCTTGCTAATTGCTCATCTTATTCGCGTAGCTACTGTGAGTGATCATGCGGCATTGTACATTTCCTCACCAAATGATTCCATCGTCTTTCAGTGGCAAGCAAAATTTTCGGATTATGTCGGAAGGTGATACGAACTTGGTTTGGACCGACTGTCCAGATGCCGGCTATCTTGTTGTATCCGAAAGTCGTGTATTGAGAAAAACACGCTTTGAACTTTGCAAGCAGAAATTGATGGTCCGACTACGAGCATCATCAGGCTTTGGACTGTTCATATTTGTATCTAATGCCCACTACTACGTCGGGACGTACGTCATGAGTCAATCCGAGAAGTTGAATAAGGAGGATTACATTGGACTACCGCACGGTGTGAGTGCTATAGGGAAGCTCTGTCTCACACTACATCATCACTAAATACCATGTTCACAGGTTAAGCGGGTTGTCTGCCAGATGAGTATGTCCGGGAAAATGAAGGAGAGCGACTATAAGAATTTGGACAAGTTATACGCCAATGGCGAGCTGACAGCCTTGAAATACCCACTGGGACGCATCGGACATTCCTTGCACTATAAATCCGCACTGAAACCTGCCTAGCGTTGGCCGGTGGTGAACATGTAGTAGTAGAATCTATCCCGGGTAGCTGTCGAAAATGAACTCTTGTGTACTAAGATTGTCATTCTTACCTGTATATATATAAGTTACTGTACTTAGAGTCAGCAACGGAGACTAGGATCGACAACAGGCGCGGGAAATGCCAAGTGTGGGAGAAGTCGGTGAGTTGCACGACTTGGTCGGCCGTTCCATCGCACGTCGCATCACCCGCAAACAACCCGCAAAGTTCAATCATCACGCCGGAGCTACATAACCAAACCGTTCGAGTGCGGTCTCCCCCGTCTGGCTTATCGTCTATGTAGCCCCCTCGCTCAGCAACACATAACTGCACTGTCACCAGCACGCACACCTAATTTCTCTCTCTCGGCGATCTCTCACCCAGTGCCCGTTTTGCAGGCGGGGAAATTGCGGGCTGCGGGCTCGTGGATCATCTCAGCGCGGATTTAGCGAAGACAATGCTCCTCATCGAGCATGATCTGCGCTGTTCTCCTCCCTCTTCGCATTGTATAGTTCCCACTCTATCAGTGTCCACATCACCAGGCAGAGAGTATTGTGGTCCTACAACCTCGTTCCCAGAGGCAGTCTTGGTGAGACGGGCAGAGTCCTTGATTCATACTCGCGGCCTGCCGGAGGTAAAATTAGCTAAAGCTGGCAAGATATCCAGCCATACTTTCGTCGGTCCGATTGCTCGTCAATTGCTGTAGAAAACGTGTACGCAGCCCCAATGGTGAGCTTGTTATTTCTATTTCCGCGCGCGTGTTTTAACTCACGACTCGTTACAAGCGAACAGATGATGCAGCTCATGTCGAACAGTTTATATCTGCCTGCCTTTAATCAGTTCATCGTAACCTGAGTGTTAATCCGTTCCTCTTTTGATTTCATCCGCACCCGATGGCATAGTTGTAGTAACAGCGAACTTTCGATTGCCGTACATCATATCACAGACGTCAACCTTCCCGCTCATCCTTCCTATGGTTGCGGCACGCCGTCACATCCTCCTTGCAGCCTCAATCCTAGAGGTTTCCCGCAAATATCACCGCGTCGCACGACGAGGGCTAGCCACTGGCAATGATAATGAGCATAAATTGATCTTGGTTAGAGATAGCTCCCCTCCGGCTCAGGTATAGCGATTGAAACCCCTCGGAATTTCAGGTTTTGTTGCAGAGCTCCAACAGAGTTTGTCGTCGTGGACAAGCATGGCTCTGTGAGCAAGCCACCGCGTGGGGCCCAGAGGGTGCATCGCGGTCACGTTTCGGAGCATGGCGGCTGGGTGGCTGGAGTTGGCGTTCATTAGCTTCATGCCGAGCATAGCCTTATGTGCGTCACCAGTTGCAGTGGAGTCTCAAAATCTCAAGGCCGTATGCTATCACTAACTTCTCAGTACCCTGCAACAGTGCGTCGGACGAGGAGTGATGCTATGCGATCCACAAGTCGGACATGTGGTACCGCAAGGAGCACTAGTTGCTACCATCTGGAATAGAAGCTATCAATGTCATCGATAAGTATGGACCTCAGCATGCTTTACTGGACACCACGCAGCAGTGTACAGTGATGCCATCAATGTTGCACTGCTTATATATCCGCAAAGTGTCTTTTAAGCCTTTTGCTGGTCTCTACGCCGACCACCACTTGTTCCTGAGAGCAGATGGCCAGCTCCGTCCAGGATGTCATCGCCCCAGAACAACAAGAAGACCTCGTGTTGGATGTATATTTCTCCACTCCGGATCTAACTCGCGAGGGTGCATCAACGTTCTCGTCCAATCGCATTCGATGGGTTGATACCTCCAAAGATACGGTCGACCTTCTCGAGATCTGGCCCATAGCAACAGCATCCCAGTCATGGGAGGCCGAGGAGAGGGCTGTAAGAGCTTTGGGCGAAACCAGTGCTAGTATAAATCAAGATTTAGTTACGAGCCAAATCGAAGAAATCGGGTAAGAGTTCGTTATGAGTACTTAGGTCATCTATTCTGACATTTATGTCCAGTCCTCAAGCCATCCGAAGACTCTTTGATTGCGAAAATGAAATTCTCAAAGATCGAGAAACATATTTTCGCGAGACGAACAACACCGTTCCGCCCTATCATATGGTGTCACATGTCTGGGGGGACGTCAAGGAATACTTGTCTGTGCCTACCGTTCCATGGCTCGTCCCCATCTCGAGCAAAGCAAAGCTAGATGTTATTTTGGACTACTGCAAGAAGGAGAAGATCAAGTGGCTGTGGATTGACATATTGTGCATCAACCAGTCTCGGGGATTCGAGGAGATCGATGAGGAGAAAGGTGCGGAAATATCGATTATGGGCGAATATTACCGGGGTGCGATCGCATGTCTGGTCGTGCCAGAGGATTATACAAATTTTCCTGCGACATATAGTCAGCTTATGAACCTCTTATTCACTATCATCGAATCCAATGCGCCAATCGATGAAAACGCTTTTCGCATCTGGGAGGGCATAGCGCTAGTGGACATGATCATGAGCGATCAGTGGTTCTGGAGAATGTGGACATTTCAGGAGCTCATGATGCCGAAGAAACATGTTCTACTAGACGGTCGAGAGCTACACATCGGGCGTCTTCGACGAGTCCTTGACTGGTATCACAAGATTCTAAGGAATGGCTCTCTCACGAAACCTGCTGATGGGACAGTATACGACTTCATTCGTCCAGAGGACGAGACTGTGATCACGAAGAATTGGCGGCCGGAGAAGTTGGGATGGGACCTGAAGGAAGACTTGGTGCGGGATGGCCATGTCGACCTCATCACGCTTGTTGCGCAGACAAGGGACAAAGGGTGCAAGTTCCAAGTCGATCGACTGCTCGGACTTTATGGAATGCTCAGTAGCGATGAGAAAGTGCCAGTTGAGAATCTCACAATTTCACCTTCCAATCCTACTGCGGCACTCGAGATGATTTGGAAGGTCATGATACGTAAAGCAATATTGTTGGGAAAAGTCTGGCCGCTGCTGCACGATGTGATGAACTCTGACCCAAACG